GGGTCAAAACGCGTCGAAATTCAAATTTCACAAAATATTGACCCGCGATCGATCGTCACAAGTGGTTTACTCGAGCCCTCGGCAAATAACGGTGCAGGCAATGTGAATTGCGGAGATCGGACACGCCGACTCTCCGAATTGCGAAGCTGGTGCGCGCAGGAGTGCGAATTGTGCAGAAGGCCACCCTAAGGCTCGGAAAGGTCCTATAGGAATCCATTTTGGGTTTCCTCATGTCGGTTTCATCCTTCTAAGTGTTAGAAGTCGATACCGCACACGCGAAACTCCAAAAGAGGACGGAAATAGGTCGAACTAAAAACGAGGTGGGCACCACTTCTAAGGTTCTAAGATAGTCGCAGGAAGACTCCTAAGGCTAGATCCTAACTCCTACGAGAAATACTAGACCTCACGAAAATTGAGGTCAACAATACCCAACACCTAAAGTTTGATATTTACACTTACAATACCTTGGTGTCATAAACCTATGCATGAAATGGTGTATTTTACTTTTAAAAATGTAGTGATGGTGGTATTTTTGATGTGATGTTAAAGATTTCAGTGGAATGAATGTAAATATGAATGTTTTAAGGTGTTGGATATTTAACCACATAAGAAATGTGTGGTATGTGTGTGAATGCTCTTTTTTGCTATTTAAGTTTCCAGAACTACTGAAGAGGTATTTTAAAAGAAACTTGTGTGTTCCTTTTTAATGCAATCACATAAACACAAAAATATGCATTTTAACTGGTTAAACAAAGCTTCTTATTTGGCATGAGAAGGAAATCAATTAAAAAGGAGTTAAATGTAACCATGCAAATAGGAATGTTATGTAGATATGAATCATTGGCTTTGTTTGTTACTCACTTTCCAAACCTATCTTAAAATTGCATATATATCGCATAGTGAATCATGTCAAATTTAATTAGCATCAGCTGACAAGATACACTCTGCACTAATAACAACATACCAAAAAAAATAGTGCCATCTTTACTTAGCTAGCATGGATAAAAAAGATAATAAGAAACCAACAAATTTGTTAATTGCAAATAAATATAAGAAAGAAATTACATGTGCATTCCAATTCTATAAGCACAGGTGACAGATTATTAAAAACATAGAATGATGACAGATTATTAAAAACATAGAATGAAGCCTAAGAACAACTCTCATTTTCAGCCAAAATATGCTTGATGGTTACAATAAAAGCTGCAAATGTTAAAAGGCTTTCAATAATTTTGAGTAGCCTTTTACCTAGACGAGCTCTATGTATGCCATTGGTGCATTGTCGCCTCTCCGCGGTAAGGTTCTGATAATCCTAGTGTATCCTCCATTTCTCTCACCATATCTATCTTGTACCTCCGCAAAGAGAGCATGCACAATCTGCTTCTCATAGATGAAACCAAGAGCTTGCCTTCTCTTATGAAGAGATCCATCCTTCGCCAACGTAATCATTTTATCGACATACTTCCTTATAGCACTTGCTCGTGCTCTCGTAGTCTTAATCCTACCGTGCTTCAGCAACTGAGTTGTGAGGCCACGTATCAAAGCACGGCGTTGGTCCGGGGGCCTATTAAGTTTTGGAACACGTTTCCCATGTCTCATTGCGAAGAATTTGCTTCCATTGTCAATTACGATAAATCCATTTTCATAACCAAAATTCTCTGCAAAATTATTGAATGGTTAGAATATAATGAGTATCATGATAGCATAGAAAAGAGTGAAGGTTATATTGCTTTAAAGCTGTTCTAAAATTACATCACATTAAGAAGTAACAATAAATAAGAAAGGTAGGTTACAAAAATATCCTTATTAGGAATAGAATACTTTGGAATAATCGGCATTTCTTGAGAAAATAAATGCAAAAAAGGTCTAGCATGATGATAAACACTAGAATCTAGATGCCTGCTTTGTTTCTCTACATAATCTAATTCTATGAAGATATGAATGCATGATTGTTCATCACTGAAATCAATTGTTGACCCCTGCCACAATGTTTAAGAAAGAGAATGATAATGAAACACTCATGGGATACAAAAAGTTATAAAATCAAAAAAATTTGGATTCTCATAATAATTTCGAGAGCATGTTCAAATCTATGGTGAAAAAAAATATAAGCTTTCTAGGAAACTATAAGTTACTCATGATGTTTTCATAAGGGATCAGTAGTAGAATCACAACGATGTAGTAGCAAACATTGACAAGTATCTAATGAAGATATACTTTTTTAAAACACTGAATGTGCAACGAGACCATTGCAAATCAAGAGCTAACAATTACTATTTATTGACAAAAAACAGAGGAAGACTTTGTCAGCCGATTTATTTTTTTTATTTATTTCTTTTAAAAATCTTTTATTTAATTTAACTTTATTACTTCAAATAACTTTATAATTTAAAAAAAAATAATTTTGTGATTTTCAAAATAATTGAAAT